GCTGCTGTAGTAGTAGTAGTCGTCGTCGTCGTCGTAGTAGTAGTAGTAGTAGTAGTAGTTAGTAGTAGTATGTAGTAGTGAGTAGTAGTAGTAGTAGTAGAAGTAGTAGTAGTTAGTAGTAGTAGTAAGTAGTAGTAAGTAGTAGTAAGTAGTAGTAAGTAGTAGTAAGTAGTAGTAAGTAAGTAGTAGTAAGTAGTAGTAAGTAGTAGTAAGTAGTAGTAAATAGTACTGCACTACGTTCGTTACTACTAAGCCTCTGCTCCACTTATGGCTTGTAGGCATAACTAACCCGGCAACCTTGCCATGGCAGCCTGGCCACCAACCCATCTGCAGTAAGACACTGGTCTCACTCGAGGCGCATTCCTCGCACACCGTTCCGACCCCATTTTGTACAACAAGGTGCAATCATGTGCTGGCTATGGCATGCGTGCACATCCCGTGTTCCTTGATTTTCACGATACACATATGTCGAAATACACACATCTTCCTATACTAGTACCTACTGTGTCTACAGGAAGGTTGTACGTAATCATTCCTATGTCCGTTCACTCATTCAGCCTTCCATCCATCACTTCGTCAGTCAGACCATCTATAAACTTTCACCCACCTCCCTGCAACCATGCTCACACCATGTGTACAATTGTGCACGTTCACAATCGGGCGCACAGCTACCTGTATAACATACGGACAGACAGATGTACATGGGTAGACCTGTCTCACTGCCAGAACAGCCTCTATATCACGTGGCATATACATCTATTTTGTGGTTGTTCTCGGTGCTCACATCGTTTCTGGGTGGCCGGAGCTGCTAAAGCCTCAAGCTCAGAGCTTGCTGGAGAGCCTAAGCTTCGTGATCTGCGGATCACAGGAGGGCTCTGGTTGGTGCGTTAAGGGCCTCTCCACCAGCACAAACACTCGAGGTTAGGCTTCCTGCATGGGCTGCTACCAGAATGAGAAAGGGTATGAGTTCCGAGGAACTCCATGCACTCTGAACCTCCAAAGTTCAAAGACATGTTGCCTCCGCAACGCCGGCAAGGAAAAGCCTGGGCTGATCCGCAAATGCTGTGTGTTATGGTTGAGCGCGCAAATGTCGTGGCATCATCGGCTGCCAGGCGACTGCAGCAGCAGCACGGCTGATATAAACTTCGTCATTGTTCGATCCTGGGCCGTTGCATTCTTCATCAGGATGAAACTCATGGCGCTTCATGCGTATTTCGTATCTCTGTCAAGCATGGAACTTCACGCAACATTGTGTACGGTACGGCTTGCTTTTGATACTTGTCAGGCAATCCGTGGCAGCCGTGCTCTAGCAATCGGAAGAGGGACATCAGGTCAATAGCTGCTGCTGAGCCACACGGATATGTCAGTCCACCAGCATCAACATGGGGCGGATCCGATATGAAAGCACCTGAAGAGCGGAGTTCCATGCAGCTCAGCTCTCCCAGGCAAGGAGGCAGTTGAAGACATTTGGGCTTAGAAGTTGGCGGCACCCGCCACTTTTGCTGAGTTTCTTTCGTCGTAGTGCCGAGCTGTGTAGCGGCGAGGCATGTGGCTGCATCACTGCACCCGCGACTAGATCGGAGATTCCAAGCTGCACTGCCGTCCCCACCAACAGCAATGCGACCGCTGCTACCACAGTCTCATACTGTACGGTTAACATGGACTGTTCCTTTATTTGCATGGTCCTGGTCGTGTGTAAACCTGAAATGTAAGCTGCTATTTATGCTTGCACCCAATGAATGTGTCCTCAGAACGCCGTTGTCGCCTATTGACTTCTCAAGCTGACGAAAGTCGCGCATGTTCACGTGCATCCCTGCAGCAAAAGCCACAATAGGACCACAACGACTCAGAGCCGCACCGACGGCAGTGCTTCGGTAATATCTTTCCGCGTGCTTGGTGACTCAAGGTTCGAGCCAACGTGCGGTTCGGCAATTCAAAAGCAGACAAAGTGCGGACCTGTCATGCTACACACGAAGGAATCCAGCGAAGTTGGCCTTCGGCATTTTTCCGCCTTCTCTCCGACCAGGCCGGCTTCATGCTCGAAGAGGCTTCCGATTTCTGGGCCCTCTCGAGCCCTCTCCTCTCCTCCGCTCACGCCTGGGCGGCCTGCGCTCCTCTCGCGGAATGGCTTTGCTGGTAGGAGTAGAGAATATACAGATATGCAGCGTATGCCTTCAGTATGCAAGGCGGGTGTCAAGCAAGGCTTCTTGCAAGGCATTGCAAAATGGTAAGCATTCCTTTAGCTCCATCTGGCCTCTTCCGGTGGCCGGGCGGACTCTGGATACTCTGACGCCCGCAGGCCTCTTGCCAGCGTGAGAAACCCAATGTGTGCATCCTTACTAATCATACACCTGTTTCAACTGCTACTTCTAATGCTGCTACTGCCGACATTACTACGCACCACTGCTACTAGCAATGGGCTGCTCCTCCTCCTCCTCCTCCTCCTCCTAAGGTCCTACTACGTTAGCTGCTGCTGCTGCTGCTGCTGCTGCTGCTGCTACTGCCACTACTGCTAGTCTTCTTTCTGCTATTTTTCCGCTTACTCAGACTCAGAACATGCGGGAGTAGATTCTAGATGCGACTAGTAAACCTACCATAAATTTGAACGGTCGTCGTCCTGGGTGTTTCTATCTTTACATCACTGCTTTTAGGCATCCATGCGGGCAGTCCCTGCCTGCTAGTTCGCAGGCCCAGACCTTGTGGGACAAAGGCAGATGACTCCGAACATGCTAGTGATGCCAGTTCTGCGGTGTAGTATTAAAAACTCATGTAACTCGATGTTACTAGATGTCAGGTTCCCAAACAGGCCCTCGGAAACACGGGTACCCATCTGCTGCCATGAGCTGCACTGGCGCAAGGATACTTATACTTGATTTTGTTGCAGAGCTTGGCCTCTTCATCCGTGGTGGCCGCTTCCAGTTGGCCAACCTGCCACGGCTGCATCGGCAGCCAATACAGCTACATGAACCCCACGAACATTGTTGAATTTATTCTAGCTGGTCCTGTGGACTGTGGAAGACCGCTCTTGCCGGGCGAGTTTTGCTGCCAGCAAAGTGCAAGCAACAAAAACTAACCTTTCGCAGCGTTTCGCATTCTGTGCCTCTTGGCCTCTTGGCCAGACTCTTTAGGTCGGATGTAAGTGGGATGCAGTGACTGATCTCGGGCAGCGTTTGCGCGTCGGCCGCTTCCGCGCCAAGTCCTCGTTACATCCGCTTTCCTGGACATAACTTGGCACCTAATGCACTGGTCCGACGGCACAAACTCATGGACTAACACTCTCTGGACGTTTGATGTCCGCTTGGTAGTGCTGGCATTTCTTGTGCCTGCGTCCTCGACATGGGATCGATGAAGCTATGTCTCCATCTTGACTAGTGGCCGTCTGATCGATGCCAAGGTCGGATAGAGGAAAAGAACAACGAACCACGACAGTCCACGACGGCTTGACAGGTTCCAAGATCTGCGACACACACTCGGACAGCATCGTCTGACAACTGGGCCTCAAGATCACCAAGAGATAGGCCGCCAACCTGCAGTGGTTCTTACGAAAAGCGTGTGCTGGCATGTTGTGTGAGCTATGAGCTTATGGCGCAAAGTGGAGTCACTCCCAAACTGGCCAAGACCCTTCAGCAAGACATCGCCAAGATGTGCGCCTGCGTCCGCCGCTGGGCTACCTTGGAAACGGAAGATATTGTTTGCTGATTTGGCATCGCAGAAGACTGCATCGAATCGAAGCTTTGCTGAGAGTAGGAGTAGGCTTCTCGCGACCTTGTAGCCACACCTTTGCACCATGGCTGGCACTTGCGCCCTGGCACATGTACCCGAGCACAAAGATTGCCGAACTTCAACACACCTGCTGAAACACCGTACCACCTTCTTCTGGATCTGTTTCTCGTTGGCCACAAAAATAATTGGATCCATCAGTTGCATGCAGAAGATACTCGATCGCTGTTCTCCCTCCGGCTGTTCGGGACAGGCCGCAGCGGCCGCAGCGCAGAAGGGCAGAGTTGGCATTCTTTGACTGCTAGAGTAAGTACACAACAACGACAGGCAAGAACAGTGAGCTTCCGCCGTCACCTGTCGCGGCAAGCAGTGCCAGGACGCCACAGAATGGACAAAAAGAGACCGCAGAACCGCAGCAACATCGAGAAGAAGTAAAGAGTCGCAGCCTCCCAAGACAGGTCCGCACCTGCCATCCCTGACGAGAATTGTGACCCGCGACCTCAGCGGCATGCTCCATAAAACATTCACGGCTTCGCGAGCCCAAATCTACAGCAGGCTTATGTCTGTGTAAGGAATGCGCGCATATCTTTATAGCACTGCAAGAGGTGGAAATTTGTGCAAGACATCTGAAGGTCTGACCGTGGCTCTTGCAGGGACGAGTCCGGCAGAAGGGCAGCCTGCAGAGCAGAAGTCCATGCTTCAGCTTCTGTAAAAACATGTGACTGTGAATGACATATCAGAAGCAACTAATGAGTTTAAGTTTCGTTGTCGTCGTCGTCGTCGTCGTCGTCGCGGTCGTGGTTGTGGTTGTGCTTCTTGTTGTTGTTGTTCTTCTTCTTCTTCTTCTTGATCTCGGCATTATCTGAGAATTATCTGTGTAATGTGTTGAATTGCGTGCATGGTGCTCAAGGATTTTTACACAACATTTCAAACAAGGGAGGCAAGAAGCACCGGGTCGCGAAGCCTCCAAGACGCTGGCGGTGTAAGTCCTGCGCAAGTAAGCATCTAGATTCTCATATGGTGTAGGGTTCAGCGTTTAGGGCTGTAGCTGCGGTTTCAGTGACTCGCAAAAAACGTGGAAAGAGTAGTACGACAACAACGATACTGACTGCGAGCAAAGCTGGCTTGAGGCAGCGGTTTGGGTCGTCCCCTTTGTTGAACTCTCGCACTGTAGTTATACCATCAGCATGTTTTTGGGGACCATAAGGGGGAACATTACCATCATCAAACACTGGTCAAACACTGGCAGGGATGCAGCATCGCCCCTGTTTTCTTGCGCCGATCAAAATCGATAGTGTGATGGCCTTCATAGGTAGTATCATAATGTCCCCTTATAGTCCCGTTCTAAATACTGTCTCATATAACATCATATAGGCTCCTTACTAATTGGAATAGGGATTAGGTTCTACAAAGAAGTATTATTTCTACTACGCTACTATAGGATCAGGACCCCCACAATTACTTAACAGTGCTGGGTACGGCAGACTTGAATGTGGGACCGCAAGGCATGCATTCTCCGAGTGTGCGACGCTGGGCTTCAATCTCGCTAGCCAAAATGCATGTAATCCATGCAAAGCCATAAGCAACAGCAAAAGAAGGATCCCGACATCAGCTCCTTCAGCCACAATGAACTGAACAACATCCCAAAAGAACACGCGCAGCTAAATCCATCACTGCTCCCGAAACTCCAGATCCTAAACCGTGAACTCCCGCTCCTTGAGACCAAAGCCCTCAATTCCTAAGCCCTGAAAAACTGCATCGCTGCAAGACCCCAAACAACGTACACCGGATCCCAAGTGGGCCTCTGGAAGCCGGTCACTCCCAGGTTCACGCCAGACTGCAAAGCCTGTCAACAACATTGCACACAGGACTTACGGTGTTTAGCTCATTCAAGGCAGTAAGATGTAAGATGAGAACCTCATGCGGGATTACAGCGCACGGCAGGTAGTCTACTGTACTCCAATTACACAGTCACATGTGATATAGTGGCCTATAATGTAGCCCCGGGGTCAGTTCCGAGCTTTTGGCTTCTGTTCCTGGAGGCGAGTTCGCTTGAGGATCGGATCGTAAGAATCAAGGTGTTCTCTGGCTGACCTTGTGGCAAATACGGTTTTCAGGATCGGAAGGCGATTCTCTGAGATGAATTACAGCAATGCCGAAGGGTTGAACGAGCGAGGATCTTGATTGTTCCGGGCTGCTGACTTGCGTTATGCCCGAAGGCATCATCCGGCCACAGTCCAGGCCCGCGCAACTCAGAAAACAAGACTTTAAGACCAAGACGCGTGGGAAAGGCATCATGCACGCCCCGTTGCTTCACATTCAGAAGCCCTGGAGCCTTGCGCAAAACATCTCAAAACCTCCCGACAAAGGGAACCACTCCCCAATTCAGAAGTCCACATCTAAGCCTTTGGAGACCTGCTGTCTCAAAACCCTAAACCCACCTCGTCGAGATACTCTGCTCGAACAGCTCCGCAGACTTCCAGCTCCAAGATGTCTGCCACACCTGGGCCAGCTCTGGGGCTGTGGGTCTGAGGATTTAGAGTTAATCTTACTTGCATATACGTATTCATACATGTATTTATTTATGTATTTTTTCATTTATTTATTCATATATATATGTATATATAGATAGATAGATAGATAGATAGATAGATAGATAAATAGATAGATAGATAGATACACCGGATAGACATATACCTATACATGTATCTATATCTGTATCTATAGTCTATATGAGTAAATAAATAAATATATGTAAATAAATACACATATAAATAAACAAATACATAAATAAATGATATATATATATTTATATTTATCTATATAGGCATGGGATTGAGCGTTCGGCGCCTGCAGCCCCCTGGGATCCCATAACTTTACCTATAGTCTCCATTGTAGTTCCTTTTTTTTGGTTTAACCCATTCTAGATTAAGGATCCTAAAAGGTAACCCCAAGAAGGAACTATAATGGAGACTATAGGTAAGATTCAGAAACAAAGCGTACACTGCCCTTTTTTAACGGCTCTCTCTGCGGGACTTCGATGTACGCGCTTGAGGTTGCAGGGTGTATACAGGGTGCCGGGCTTTGGCTTTCTGGAGTTTCGGACTGGCTTTTGGGGGGCCGGGTGTTGATTGCATGGAGCATGCGGATCTTGCTTATTAACCTAGCTATACTATACACCACATAGCTGTTCCTAGGCGAGGAGCATCGAACTTTTCCCGGTTCCGAAGCAGCCAATATTGCCAGGATATCCCAAACCCTCACAGCTTCCGAAAGATGAAGCCAAGAACAGAGGCTGGCACCCCGCCGAGGATCTTGGAGCTGTCGAGTCAAGCGCCCACTGAGCAGGAGGCTGTGGTGTTTGCAGAGATAGCTTTGGGCGTTGCCGGGTGAGCTCCTTCGGCCGTTGTTCTGAGCATGGCTGCCAAAGCAGCAAAGCTTCTGCACGAACAAGCTGCCCGCAGGTGCGGCAACAGCTATCCCAATCTGAGCTATGAGCCGACTGTGTTGAAACTGTGCCGATTTCAGCATTCAAGTCCCATGACTAGTTCAAGAGGAGCGCCGTTGAGGCGTTGGTTATTGTGAGGTTGCGACTTGGAGGGTGCAGTTTTTGAATTCAGGTGTGTCAAGCGATCCTATCAGTAGAATCAGTAGCCGGAGTTGCCGGAACTACCCTGCAACAATCCCCACCTTCGGCTCCAGAGGAAGAGCCCGCTGGCACTGGTGGCAAGGCCACCTACCGGGTGATAGAGGTCGAGCTCGAACCTCAGCGACCAGGTAGGCATCTATAGCACCGGACGGACGGGGAACATCTAGGTGAGTCTTGTTATGGCTCCTGCATGGTGAGCTGTTCCATGAAACATTGTTGAATGCGAGGAGGAAATTTGGCAAGCATTCTATTAGGCGTGAGCCATTACAGCCGAGCAGATTCGCCTGGGGGGGTGCAGTAGTTGCTTGTAGTCTTTGCGCAGGAATTCTGAACCACGAAACCCTGAGAGCCGAAAGCCAGAAGTTTTTCGTCGCACCCGAGTCATCTGACTTGTGATGCACAATCTGGGCTGCACTTGCTCAAGCAACTAATTACTCAACTCGCCTCGAAAGCAAACCTAATTGCGGCATTGAGCCCTGAAACAGGAAAGGATGGATACCAGAGCAAAGAAGTTCCGGCAGCGCTTTGAGAGCTTGGCTGTCTGTCATCAGAACTCTTGCTGCGCAGTCTGTGTCTATGCATACAGCATGATAGTTCCCTAGTGTATACCGCGTGTAGACACACATCCACTAAGCAAGATCCGAGTTGTCGAGCTCGTCCCCGGCGAAAGACACGACTGATCGCAGATCCTGGCGCCACAGCATTCGCAGGTCTGCATGTAACAAGCAGTTCTTGCTTAACTCATCGTCCGTCGTGGTATGTAGCCAGCTGCAGAGAGCAGTATGTGCTGGGAGTAGTTGCGTGCTGGTGGTTGTTGTTTGGTCGTCGTCGCAGCAGGTAGTTTAGTAGCAGTCGTCGTAGTGGTGGTAGTAGTCGTCGTCGTCGTAGTAGCAGTAACACACTAGCGCAGGGGAGGCGCAGGAGTAGCAGCGGCAGCAATAGAAGTAGTAGCAGCAGCAGCAGCAGCAATCGTCGCCATCGTCGTCGTCGTACAGCAGCAGCAGCAGCAGCAGC